ACAATCTGTAAAGCTTTTTTGAAATCTTGGGCAGGCGATGAAAGGCACTATATAAATGCAAGATATTTATAGCCTTCCAAGCATTACTACCCAGGCAAATTGCCAGACAGACCTTGCTGGTTTGCTTTGTTGCCATAACATGAAGCCAGCAAGCGATGCTTTCTAAGGGGACTATTTCCTTGCCGTGTTGCACTGCAAATTGCAAACCTCTTTGAAAACCACAAAAAGTCAAGTCAAGCCCTAAATAGAAAACCACCCATCTGCTTTGAGCATGTCCACAATGCAGATTTGCGATGATTTTTAAAATAGTTATCCCCTTTCCCCAGGGAAGTTTGACAGTGGAAAGTGTATTTCTGTCACAGAGCTTAGGAATCTGTAATGGAGAATTCTCACTGACTGCAGTAAAACAACAATTCTCCAGATTCTGTGGAAGAAGCCACGGCAGGGAAGTGAGCCTAAAAGCAGAAGGGCAAGGTCACATCCCTGCCATACATTTAGTACACTCTTCTGCTACTTTAACAGTCATGGAGAATCCTGGGAACTGTTAAGGGTTCTGAGAAGTGCATCTTTTTGAGGCCAGCACTCTTAACAAACTGCAGTAGCCAGGATTTCCCATGGCTGTTAAAATGGTGTAAATTTACAGTGGGGATATGATCCAGTTGGCCGTGTGGCTTCTCAGTTGCATGACACACAAATGTTGAGGATATGAAGCTTCCCACCTATCACTATTGACACCCTGAGGAAATCTTCATTTGTTCAATTTCTGTGCGTTGAGCTGCTGCTAAAGGCACAGGACCAAAGGCAGTGATCAAGGGACATAAGAAGAGCCTGCTGCATCAGGCCAAGGGCCCATCCTGTTCTCACAGCAGCCAGCCTGCTGTCTCTTGTGGGAAACCTGCGAGCAGGACCTGAGCACAAGGGCACCTCCCCGGCTGTGGTTTCAGAAGCATTGCTGTCTCCAACTGAGCAGAGCCATTATGGCTAGAAGCCATTGATAGCCCTTCCTGAATGAATTTGTCTAATCCTCTTTTAAAGGCATCCCAGTTGTTGGATGCCCCCAGTGGCAATGAGTTCCACAGTTTAACTATGCCCTGTGTGAAGAAGCTCTTCATTGTATCTGCCCTGAATCTTCCAATGTTCAGCTTCATTGGGTGTCCATGAATTCCAGTGTTGGGGGGGACGGACTTTTCTCTATTCCCTTATGCCATGCATAAATTTATGAATTGCTATCATGATACTTGCCTTTCCTGTATAAACTAAAAAGTCCCAAGCACCGCAACCTATTCTCACAAGGCAGTTGCTCCACAGCTGGTCATTTGGTTGCCCTTTTCTGAACCTTTTCCAACTCTGCAATACCTTTCTGAAAGTGAGGCGACCAGAACTGTACACAGTATTCCAAATGTGGCCAGACCATAGAGTTGCATAATGCCTTGTGATATGGGCAGCTTTATTTTCAATTCCTTTCCTAAGGACCAAGGGACCGTGTGGCGAAGGGCAGGCTCTAAATTTGTTGGATAAATTAACAAAGAAACAAACTCCCAGGTATGCCCTTGACACATGAACTTTGCCCAATGCAGTGTTCTTTAGGGCCAAGGTATTTTGGAGAAGGCATGCACAAGTTTTGAGTCACACAGAAGGCCACATCAAATACAGAATGAAGAGGCTGTTAATTAATGCTTACAAAGAGACCAAATTCTAGTTAAAAATGCAAGCAGTTCAGGCCATAAAAATTCAGCTCTGAACTTAAAATTGTCATCCTTGAGAGATTGCACCCCACACATAATCAGATAATAATAATAATAATAATAATAATAATAATAATAATAATAATAATCAGACACATATTTTAACTGCCACTTAAAACCACTTTTGGCAGATTAATCCTACATTATTATTTTTTAATTCACCACATTTTAGTATTGAAAACCACCTTGGACAGGTATTGTTTGACTGAGAGTGTTCCTTTCTGGTATTTTCATCCTCCCTCATCAGACACCAGAATTTCCAGCTTGAGTTCTGCTAACAAAGCATTAATGAAGATCAATGACAGCAGGGTTCTTCTGCATTAAATTCTAATATTTATGCATCTCCCTGCCGTTATTGCCTTTTACCTTTTTAATGTGAGCCTAAAACTCCTGAATAATTAAAAGCTGGGCTAAAATAGATGTAAAAATGGTACCAAGTGAAGGTGAAGATCCTTTGGGTGTCCTGGGCCCAAGAAAGGCTCTGTGGCATTTGGAAGGGTTGCCCACGGGGGGGGGGGCATAGGTGGCCCAGCAGGACAGAGAGAATGAGGTGAAGGGATAATTTAGGGAAGAAACAGGTCTCTGGCCGTTACAGCACAGCACAAACAAGGCAGAGAGTGAGGCTCCTGCTGGGTGCCTGTACCTTTGAGCACTTGCAGGCCAACAGAAACCCAGCATGGTGCAACTGTCCCTCATCAATGCGCCTGCAGGCTGATGGCAAAGCTCTGCCTGTTGAATTTCACCTGCTTTGCCTGCAGGGTGATGTGGGGGTTTTCTTTTTTTAAAAAAAAGATATTTATTAAAGTTTTCAAAGTATTACAAAAAAGAAAAAAAGAAAAAACACAAAATAAAAATAGTTAAAAACAATTCGATCTTTCCGTATCTTATCTTTCATTTGCCTGTTTTCCGGACCTCCTCACACCTCCCTTTTTTGTATTCCAGTTCAATTTATTGGTTCAGCAAATCCTTTCCCTCTTTGTTTTATCCTGATCTTTAATCTTAATATATTGTAGCTTTAGATTTTCACCTATTAACAATCCATTTTTTCATATTCCTTTATGACATTACTGCTAAAAACCCTTAACTTCAATCCAACATCATTCTAACATTCATTTATTTTGCAATATTTCTGTAAATAGTCTTTAAATTTCTTCCAATCTTCATCCACCGACTCTTCTCCCTGGTCTCGGATTCTGCCAGTCATTTCCGCCAGTTCCATATAGTCCATCACCTTCATCTGCCATTCTTCCAGGGTGGGTAGGTCTTGTGTCTTCCAATACTTTGAAATAAGTATTCTTGCTGCTGTTGTGGCATACATAAAGAAAGTTCTGTCCTTCATTGGCACCAATTGGCCGACCATGCCCAGGAGAAAGGCCTCTGGTTTCTTGTGATGTGGGGGTTTTCAGGCATAGGAGACCACACACAATGAGCTTCATGGCTAACTAGGATTTGAACCCTGGTCTCCCAGGTCCTTGTCTGACAGACCAACCACCACACACTTGCTTTTGAATTACAACTCCACAGTGGTTGGGACATCTGAAGGGCTCCAGCTTAGTCAATCTACACTTACCGACAGCTGGTCACAAAGGTTTTAGACAGGAGTAGCTCTCAGCTTTGCCTGGAGATACCAGGCTCAAACTTCGATTCTTCTGCCTGCAGAGTGTGGGCGCTGAAGCCACGGCCCTTTTCTCTGCTACTCTCTTGTGCATCTTCCTCGCGCCCCCAGCTCCCCCTTATGGTGTCTTTATCAAATTTATACTCTGCTTTTCCATCCAAGATAAAACTGCTACAGTACAAAAAATATTCATGTACACTACAAAAGAAAATCACCAGTGTTTCTGCATTTTTAAAAATCAGACTTTTTAATTTATTTCATAAAAAATTTAAAAAGTTGAATCCCCTTCTGGCTTCTTTTTGAAGCAGCCAGTGTTTACAAAGCAGTTCAAGTCGTAGCTGGAAAAAATACACTCAGTTTTTCCAACTGATTTCCTGTAAATTCTTCAGACCTTTCCACCAATAGGGCACAAGTGCCAAAAAGAATATAGCAAAAGCACCTTCCTGGTGTAAGTAGGTCGGGAGTTTCAGTTTGGGTGCTGCCACACTAAAATATCTATAAAAGATATAGAGAGATATTTGTTTAATTCCAGAATTTCAGTAATGGAACGAAAAGCATATGAAACAAGTCAATTCAATGACTAAAAGGGAGCTAAAAGGTGAAAAGGTACAAATGATAGAACAAGCATGTGCAAAGTGCCTTTCCCTCCAGAGCATCAGAACTTAGAAGAAAAGGCCACCCACTTAGGTCTGCATTCCTCTTCTCCTGCTGATTCCAACTCTGACTGAAACATTGAGTAGAACAACACCATACATTTAAAGCACATGAGTGTGATGCAGCAGCAAAATAAACCAACACAATTCTTTGGCTGCATCAACAGAAGTCTAGTGTCCAGATCAAGGGACGTAATAGCACTGCTCTATTCTGCCTTGGTCAGAGCACACCTGAAGTATATGACCAACTCGGGGCATCCCAAATTAAAAAGAATGTTGTGCAGAGCAGTGTGACCAAGATGATCAAGGGCCTGGAAACCACAGAATTATAGAATTGTAGAGTTGGAAGGGACTCCCAAGGGTCATCTAGCCCAGCCCCCTGCAAAGCAGGAATCTTTTGCCCAACCCAGGAGCCTGAGATTAAGAGTCTTGTGCGAAATGACAGCCATCTTCAAATATCTAAAGGGCTGTCAAATGGAAGGTGTAGAAAGCTCTTTTCCTGCTGCTGCTCCAGACGGTAGGACCCAAACCAGTGGCTTCAAATTGAAAAAAAGGAGGTTCCGACTAGACATGGGAAGAGCTTTCGGAAGGCGAGAGCTGTTCAGCAGTGGAAGAGATTACCTGGGAAGGTGGGACTGGCCTTCCTTGGAAGTTTTAGAACCGCGACTAGCTGGCCTGGGATGCTTTAGCTGTGCTTCCCGCACTAGAGGGCCCTCGGGAGCCCCTTCCAAGTCTGCAATTCTATGAGCCTCCCAAGGCTCGCGGCGGGGGGGGGGCAACTTGAATAAAATATTGTGGGGGGGGGGCTGTAAGCCCCGCCCCGCATAACTGATCGCATGATGCAATGCACAGACACTATTTGAATGGGAATGTCCACCAACTTTTTTTGGGGGGGGGCGCCTCAAATATTTTATTGTGGGGGCCGAAGCCCCCCCCCCCGACCACGGGACTGGGCTCCTGTGACTCGCGGGAAGTGTAGTTGTTCCGGGTGCTGCTTGGAAGTTGCTCTGGGGCCGCCGGGCGCGCCTTGCCCGGTCTGGGGCGCCTCCTTAAGCGGCCGGCCCCGCCCCGGCGCTGCCTGGCGGCCCGGCGGGCGGGCGCTATGCAAAGGAGGCGAGCCCGTGACGCCGCGCGCTCCGGCGGCCGCGGCCAGTCGCAGCGCCCGCGAGCCCCAGTCAGCGAGCGCGGCAGGAGCGGCTGGCCAGGCGAGGCTAACATGGCGCTGGGCTGGAGCGGGCGGCCGCGCGGCGGAGGGGGCGAGGCCGGGGCGGCGGCGGCGGCGGGGCTGGTGGCGCTGCTGGTGGCGCTGCTGTACCCGGCGCCCGGCAGTGCCGCCCGCGCGGGGCCCCCCCGGGTGCTGGGCATGAGGTTGGAGAGCAGCGACCTGCCGGCGCCCAGCGCGGCCAGCTTATCGCCCATCCAGGTGCTGGAGGGCGCCGAGATCAAGCTGCGCCTCTACGGGCTGGGCATGCACGCGCGCGTCTCCGAGCTGGTCTCCTTCTCCGAGGTGGGCCCGGTTGGCAACGCCTCCTCCTCCTTCTGGGGCGAGGCCGCCAACGCCACCTGCCCCGAGAAGACGCAAGACCTGGTGGTGCAGCCGCGCGCCGAGGAGAGCCGGGACACCTCGGCCCTGGTCTCCGTCAAGGTGCAGCTCCTGCGCAAGGCGGAGAAGTCCAAGCTGTACGTCCTGTGCACGCAGAGCGGCCCCGGGCAGCCCTGGCTGCCCCTAGAGGGCCGCGACTCCTTCCTGCAGGTGGTGGAGGAGAAGAAGCACCTGCTGCCCCTCTGGTTCCAGGTGATCCTCATCTGCTGCCTCCTGGTCCTCTCCGGCATGTTCAGCGGGCTCAACCTGGGCCTCATGGCCCTGGACCCCATGGAGTTGCGCATCGTCCAGAACTGCGGCAGCGAGAAGGAGAAGCGCTACGCCCGCAAGATCGAGCCCATCCGCCGGAAGGGCAACTACTTGCTCTGCTCCCTCCTCCTGGGCAACGTGCTGGTCAACACCACGCTCACCATCCTCCTCGACGACCTTATTGGCTCGGGACTGGGGGCCGTTGTGGCCTCCACCACGGGAATCGTGATCTTTGGGGAGATTGTCCCGCAGGCCCTCTGCTCCCGCCATGGCTTGGCGGTGGGGGCCAACACCATCATGGTCACCAAGTTCTTCATGCTGTTGACCTTTCCCCTCTCCTTCCCCGTCAGCAAGCTCCTGGACTGCGTGCTGGGTCAAGAAATTGGCACGGTCTACAATCGGGAGAAGCTGGTGGAGATGCTGAAGGTGACGGAACCTTACAATGACCTGGTGAAGGAGGAGCTGAACATGATCCAAGGGGCTCTGGAGCTTAGGACTAAGACCGTGGAAACTGTCATGACCCCACTGCACGACTGTTTCATGATCAACAGTGATGCCATCTTGGATTTCAACACCATGTCTGAGATCATGGAGAGTGGCTACACTCGTATCCCCGTCTTTGAGGAGGAGCGGTCCAACATTGTGGATATACTTTACGTCAAGGACCTGGCCTTTGTAGACCCTGATGACTGCACCACCCTCAAGACCATCACCAAGTTCTACAACCACCCTGTCCATTTTGTCTTCCATGACACCAAGTTGGATGCCATGCTGGAGGAATTCAAGCTGGGTAAGGCAGATGGCTGTTAACCAGAAGGTTGGTGGTTTGAGTCCACCCAGGGATGGCAGTGGGCAGGATTTCTGTGTTGCCGGGGGTTGGACTAGATGATCCTCGGGGTTCCTTCCAATTATATGGTTCTGTGAAAGGGGGCGAGGATGTGCATCTAATACTAGACTGGCAAAGTTAATCAGTGGCGTAGCGTGGGTTGTCAGCACCCGGGGCAAGGCAAGTAATTTGCGCCCCCTAACCCGTGGATTTTAGCACCCGAGTGCGAGCGCCCCCCCCCCCCGATGTTGCGCCCGGTGCGGCCGGCACCCTTGGCACCCCCCACGCTACGCCACTGAAGTTAAGGCCCTTGTAGGGCCACCCCACACATTAATATGGGAAACCTAGGTTTGTTACCTAGTGTATTCTCACCCAGGAATTTCAACCAGTCACAGGTCTCCAGTGAGTGTCTGTATAACAGTCGTGTGCATTCTCATGTTGCATTTACATCAAGGTGGGAAGAGGCTCCGTCTAGAATGGGCTGAGTTTGGTTGTCTTCTTGAATAGGTTATGTAGCCCAGTCCTACAAAGATTTATTCAGAAAAGCGGAATTGATATTTCATTCTAACAATGATCTTCAATTTTAGCATCAGCAAAACTCTGAAGTGGAGTAATGCTATTCACCCGTTGTATGCTAATATAAAACAGCCTTTCTCTTATGCACACACACAAACATCAGATCTGTTTGAAACAAGGTCTTGAAAGATCGTTTTGGGGGGGGTTACATTGTATGTACATTTTTTCCATGTAGGGAAACTATCTAACAGGGATCAAATAGGATGAAAGTGAGAAATGAGATATTTCCCGCCTTGGAGTAGATTAGCTGGGTGAAGGGTTAAGAAATTACAGCTGATTTCTCTAGCATTAAACCAGAATCACTGAGAATCTGGGCCTTGGGAAACTAAGTTGCAAAGGAAAAATATTTTAAAAGCTTTGAGAGTTGATAAGTGGGGAGGGCAGGTATATTGGACGCCCTCAGCGATTCAGCTAACTGCTGTGATGTTTCCCCCCATTTAATATGCTTCAGTTCTTAGAGTTGTTGATAAAGTTTCATTGCCAAAGGGATGTTTCCAACCATTTCTGGAGGAGTACCAGGAAGTCTAGATGTTAAGATGAAGTCAACCCTGCTTGATGCTGGAAGCTCTTAAAGCCACACTGCTAAAGCCGCAACCTGTGTGTTGCTTTGCAAAGTCACCCCCACCCCCTCAGTGTCCCTCCCAACTCTGCAATTCTATGATTCTGTGAATCATAAAGACACGCTGCACCTGGAAATTCTCCTCCACAAGCACCATTTCTCCTCATTTCAAAGGAGTTCAGCACAAGAAGATTGCACCCTGGTGCTGCTGCTGTTTCCAACAATTAAACATGTTGACATGTATCAATAAGGAGAAAGGGGAAGGTTGCCTTTGGCTGGGGAGGGGGTTACCCTTATATGAATGTCCTCCTTCATTTGCAATCTAAACATGCCCTCATGGGATGATGGTTGAAATCCTGCCGAAAAAGTGAAACTACTCAGTCTGTACGTGCATGTCTTTTGTTCTTCTTCATTTCCTACTTGAAGGAAGTGCATCTGCCCTTTTCTGCACTGAGTCTGTGGGTGAAGAGCAAGCTAGCTGAGGTTTCAAAAGTACTTCAGAGTTCTGATGTGGTTAAATGCCGTTGCAATGTTTGTAACGTGGCAATGACCCTTTATAGCCAAAACATTGAACACCTCCTTTGGGTGTAAGGAGATTGCCTTTAAGACCAACTTTCGCCAAATTGGACCAAAAACCCCATCAGCCACACTCAGTGCTGGCTGGAGATGGTGGGAGTTGTAGTCCAAAGCATCAGGAGGGCACCAGCTTGGCAAATGCTGTTGCAGACAGTTGTTCTAAACCAGGGGTCAGCAAGGTTTATTTTTCCTGGGCCGGATCGGTCCTGCGGAGATCCCTCCATGGGTCGGATCGTGTGCCCGCCTGCGATTTTTGGTGTCTGCACAGACGCAATTTCTGGCACCGCAGAAGCGAGTCCCCGCGCTGTGCTCGCTGCGCTGGTTTGGCGCAGTGCGTGAGCGAGCGGCTCGGTTCAGGGCTGGTTCATGGGCCGATCAAACGACCTCCATGGGCCGCTTCCAGCCCATGGGCCTTAGGTTGGTGACCCCTGTTCTAAACAGTGTGCCGTGAGAGAATTAATATTCACTTGTTTAAATGCATTAACACTGAATTGTTTTTTTTAAAAAAAACAACAACAATTAAAGGCCTGGGTGAGCTCAATGTGCTTGTCCTCAGAGGTGAGGCTGCTTGCTGCTTCTCTGCATGATGCATTGCACTGACTTTGCCAGTTGCCACCTTCCAGTGGGGGTGAGTAACTACTTCTGCATTGGGTGTGATGGCATGGCCTCAGGAGATGTTACCCATTGCTTCTATGTGAACCATCACCTCTGTTCTAATTAGTTTGCATGGCTGGGGAGTTATTTTGCTGAGTACTGGTTTTGACCTGGTCATTCATTCAGTCACTGCTGATGCAGAGGTGATGCAGAACTGCTCACCCTCCAAGGAAGCTGCCTGTTGTGTCCACTGCTTTGCAATGAGGAGGCAAACTGAGATCTGTGACTCATGCAGAACTACAGGATGTGAACTAACAGCACAGTCCTCAGATATATACTTGGCCCGTTTAACACCCAGCCATGGCTTAATATGATGAACATATTGTGGCTGCTTTGCTTCTGCACTGAGCTCAGCTAAGCTGTGCTTTAGCTCACCCTATCATCCAAACCCTGGCTCCATAGGTTAGCTCTCTCCAAACAAACCATGAGCTGTAACCAAGGCTTGCCCAGGTGAGCAAAACCACAGGTCCAGGTTTCAGTGATATACTAAGCTTCTCTCCTAATTGAATTGCTCTAAAAGCTGAGATCACCCAGCAGTCACCAGATTTGGGGTGCAGGAGTAGCCTTCCAGGTGAAATTGGGCTGCCTCTCCCACCTGCCCCAACCAGTGTTCGAAAATAGCCAGGCACCAGGCACATTTTGCTACTGGAGTGGGATCAGTTGTGGAGATTTCTGAGCACCAGGTTGGCGAACACAGTTTAAAAATCTGACTTTTCCATTTCCACTGTGTGTGTTTCTTCGCCTGTTGCATACTGGAAAAAGTGAATTGTTGGAAAAGCAAGCTACAGTTAAGCAATGTAGTTGAGATCATAGAATCGTATACCGGTAATTGTAGCATTGGAAGGGACCCCGAGGGTCATCAAGTCCCAACTTCCTGGTGAATGGACATTCTGTCGTGGCAACCTTAACCTAGATTTAGGTTTCTAACAGTGGGCAATGGTCAGAGCTGATGGGTGTTGTAGTCCAGCAGTATCTGAAGGGCACTGTGTTGGCTATACTTGCCTTAAAATGCAAGAATCTGTCATGGGTGGCTTTGACCCTCTGCGTGAAAGTATAGTCTCATGAACTTTTCCCGCTGCATCTCTTGCTATGTTTGAGTCACCAGAAAGGCTCCCTGAAGGCACAGGGGATTCTGCTTCTTTTCAAAGGCCTAGGACTGAAAGACTTTAAAAGCTTTGTGTCTATATTGTACTTTGTGGCAAACTGAAGACCTTGACGCTGATGGTCTGAGCTGGCATGCTCCATTCTCAAAGGACTTAAACAGCTTGCACTCCAACTTTGGTGAGGGAAGGGGAAGTTGTCAGTTTGACTGGGATTGTAGACCTCACACAGGGATAGTTTGGGAGACTGGGAACTGGTCCTGGTATATATAGAAACTTTTAAGGGACCAGAGGAGTTGAAAGAAGGGATCCACAGTTATTCATGAAGAAGAGAACCTGAAGAAGCAGCAGATAGAGGACAGTGCTTAAAGTTGCAGTGCTAGGGTCTGGAGGGGTGCATGTTTGGAGGCAAGGAGAGAGGAGTGTTAAGAACAGTGTTAGAAACTGAGATATGAAAGCTAGGAGCTAAATGGCACTTTAAACCAATGTTATGGGTGCAACAACAGAATGTCTGGGCACACTTTTTTATAACAAGAATACAAAGCTGAAAATGAAAGAACTGCAGCTAAAATATTATGTTCATTTTTCACATGTTCTAGTCCTTTCCCTGCCCACCCCCCTAATATTCTTAACAGGGTCTCTTTTCCAGTCTTCAGAGAGTAGCTGGAAGTGGGGAGGCAGAAAAGGGTCCTCCTTTCCTTCCACTCCGCAGTTTTAATCTGAAATCTTAGCCACAGTACACTACTTGCACTAATGAAACTCCCTGTCACAAAATGTGCCTAGAACAAAGGGAATTTCGAACACTGGTTAAGAAGGTTGGTCAAGGGACAGGATGGCTAAAGGAAGTGGGACAGAGTGGCCATGGCCAGAAAAGCAAGTGTCTGAGGGGGGGAAACAGTTGGTGGACCTGGTGTGCCAAGAAGCGAGTCTGATTGGAGCATTACTACAGGGGTTCTGTGTTTGTGGACCACGAGTGGTCTGTGAGCTTCATTTAGATAGTACGTGGCATCGTTGTGTATCCTCATAGTCGCTGGGATGTGGAGGGATGCCTTTTGGATTTTCCAAGTTGGACACCAAAATGTCTTTGTATAGCTCTGGGAAAAGATGTCAGCTTGTTTGGGAGCATTTAGCTGGTACAAGAACCAAGCACTTAAAAATGAGCTGTTAAGGAGGACTTGAAACTGAGAATCTACTCAAACCACAGTAGCAAATATCCTCTGTGGGCTGGAGGGGGGAGAGAGAGCACTGGCAAAAGGCAGAGGACAAGTTCACAGATGGAGGGACAGCTCGCTGGCTGTAAATCGATGGGAGGAGCATGTGACAAGCGCCCGATAGCTCACCCAGCCCAGAGGGCACATCAACAACAGATGAGGGAAAACAAGAAGAGACAATGGCTGTGGAAACCCAGAGCTTAATTTGAGCTAAAGCTCAGCGAAAGCTAGGCCCCATATCTTTCAATGCAGGCATGCATTCCTGAAGCCTGTGAAAATAATACTGCA